GCTTTGTGCCTAAAGCAAGTCTAGAACTCATGGTCTCCTGGTTTCTAGCCTGGCACCTTAACCACTACACAATACTAATTTATACCTGGTAACCCAGCAGACCTTGACTCATCTTAAACAGTTATGCAGGTTAAGCATTAAATTGGAGGTCACTGGGAAATTCTGGGGTTTAGGCTAGACCCAGAAATTGGACATCATCTCAGAAGGTAGCCAACTCCTTCTCTAGCACTGCTGAAAACCTGCACAAATTCAACCACTGGGAGAGGTACAGAGATAATTTCAAAACCTCAAGCACACTCATTTGGAATTCTGCAATTCCGGAATTCTAATATTTAAAAAATTGTTAAAAAGAAATATGCACGCAGGTATGTAGAACTCCTCAAATGTTCAGGGGTTAGGATATCCCAATTCAATAAAGGAAAAAAAACATGAAAGGGAAATTTGTAGACTAATAACTAAAGAACAAAGATGCTATCTGGATGCTCCATGAAATTGCTGTTGATGAACCATGATTACATGCTAAAATGTCTGATTGGAAACAACCTTAGCAACCTGGGAGAGCTGTTAAAAGAACTTTTCTCCATATTCCCACATTTATTCTAGAACTAGCTACTTCTGTAGTTAAAACACAACCAATACCCATTCAAGCTAAATTTGTACTGAAAAGCACAAATTTATTTCTGATTCTCAGTGTTGTTGTTTTTTTACTCTGCCTTACAGTCACAAAATAAAAGATTACAAGATATGAGAACCCCCAATGAAAAATAACAGCAGCTAACGGCAGTTAACAATCTTATCCTGGCATAACACCAGTAGAAATATGTCAGTTGAATGGGCACTGAATAGAGAAGCAACAGAAAATCACAAAAGCAGAAACACAAAATGAAGTGTCAATGAGAACACTAATGGTAGAAATACAAAAACAGAACCAGAAAAAGAAAAACCCAGGTGGACAGACCACAAACTTCAGACAGACTCCCAGTTTCCCAGAAAGGACAACCTGTGCCCAGACTGGGGAAAGATGCTATTCACACCTGAAGTGAGCCAAGGAAGTCATGACAGATGTGCTGTCCATTACCACCATATACCCTCGTATCACCACAGCAGTCATGGATGATTCCAACAGCCCCAATAGCACACCTGGCAATAAGCCCACTGGTGTTCCCCACTGTTGTTGGAGACAGATGAGGATGGAAGAAAGTGATGTTCTCTGCTTGCAATCTTTTGCAAACCACTATCTTCTTTCCAAGACTCTGAGACGCCCATTACATCTATGCTCTGTTGTAGCATTAACAAAGTTAGGATATTATTCACAGGGTAGCTATTTTTTATTCCCCCATCCCATTGTTGAGAAGGGGGGAGGGTTATTTGCACCAAATCTGGTGTTCTTGTAAAGCTGCTTCAGTTGGTTTTGACACTGATTAAAGGAACAGAAGATAGGTATGATCTTACTTGTACTGTTTCTATGCAACCATGGCCCCAACCTCTTTCAGTCATTTTCCTAGTGTGTCTTTTCCTGTGAAATAGATTTGCCATCAATGCATTCCCCAGTGTATCTGCTATGCTTATCACACTGGTGGAGCATTGAATGATTTGCCAAACAGCATTGCTTCTATCTAAGCAGAGGCTAGCAAGCCATTTGCTAGCTATATATATATGTTGGGGATTCCCTTACCCCCAAACTAATAAAATATTGTTAAAACTATATAAATACAAATAACAAAAACTTTAGATTTGCCTGGAACCTAAAAGATGGTAAAGAAACAAATAGGTGCATATATCTAGGCAAAAGGGTCCATAACCTGGAATGCTATTACAGAAAAGGTCCATCTCTCCAGTGACTACCATTGCCTAATCTCAGGCTGTTTGGAGGATAACAAGTCCAGGATAGAAAGCTGAATTCAGGACCAAACTGGTACCTCTCAGAGAAATTTCAACAGCTAGCATGATGTTCTTGACAGTCAGCCAGTTAACAATCTGGCTGCCACATTCTGATTGCCACCTCTAAACTTGGATCCAGGAACTTCTGTCTGCGGAAGGGTACCAATTCAATAGACTGCTTCTGTTAGTGGAATGGGGAAGGAGAAGATCCTTGCACTCCTCTTTCTTCCTCAGAAATGTTCTTTGGATGCTTGTTGATCTCTTTGGAATATGGGGGCTGCAAAGGGAGAAGAATTAGCAAAGATCTCTTTCAGATAGAATGTGTAGGCTTCTTTGGATTAAGCCCTGCATGTGGCCAGGGTCAATAGCTCAAAAACTAAATGAGTCCAGGACAAAAAAAAAAAAGAATTATTTTAATTAATATGATATTCAATTAATATGATTACTCCCCCTACCTTTAATAATTTTCTCTTTGCTCCTCACTTGAGCAGGTGGCATCACTAAACTAACCTTGTTTTTTGTGTGCCTTCAAGGCAGTGTTGACTCCTGGTGACTGCCTGGACAAGTCCCTACAGATTTCTTGGCAAGATTTCAGACGTAATTTGCCCTTGCCTGCTTCTTCCTAAGGCTGAGAGAGAGCTACTGGCCCAAGGTCACCCAGCTGGCATTGTGCTCAAAGCAGAGCTAGAACTCAAAGTCTTCTGGCTTCTAGCCTGGTGCTTTAAACCACTACACCAAACTGGCTCTCAAACCAACTGTAGCTGATTAAAACAACCACACACACACACACACACACACACACAAAGATATGTAGGATCAAATCTTTTTAGAACTTGGGTG